TCTTTCCCTGTTGAGGCCGGCGCAGAGAAATTCCCTGTTCGTGGAGTCGCGTTCTTGGCCGCGTGATCGGTCTTCCCTGGAGGGAAGGGCAGGGTGGGGCAGACTTCTGGAGCGCCGCTGAAAGATCTGCTTTTGACGCGGGAAGGAGCAGACTGGCCGATATACCCCCTTATACTCCCAGAAGTAGAGGCCATGGGGGTCAGGAGGGTCCAGACCAAGCGGCCCAGGCCAGCCGGGTCCGCTTTGGCTGCTGAGACCCAACTGGCGGGCCGCCCCTGGGCGGACCTGGCTCTGGTGCCAGCGCGTCTCTCCCTGCACCACACTCACCCGACCGGCTGAAGAGGCGAGGACGAGGCCTCACCACCTCTGCACGGTATCCAAGCTGAGATTGGGATAGATGGGGTCAAGGCCAACGCCATAGAGTCGAGGTCGCGTTGTTAGAGGTACGAGTAGCCAGAGGGTTGAACGCGAGTCCTCCCACGCCTGGCTGGGAGCCGTGCTGACGTCAGCACTCTGGGCCTGACACGCGCCATCCTGAGATTCAGCAAAAGTCAAACCGTATGATTAAGCCCTAGGTCAGCCTTTTAAAAACTTTTGCCTCCTTTTGATGAACCAAGAAATCTGTTACCCTACAGCCCTTATGATAAACTATCCCGTCCCTGTTCCTGTCTCCGGTATTCCAATCTTAAACCAAACTACTTTGAGATTTAAATGACCCGGATTAGATCATCCGCACTGATAAACCAATTGCCACTAGCCAGTTTAGAGGCAATGGGCTTAATGCAGAGATTGCAGAATCCTGTATTAGATTAGAATACCAGGAGACCTAGATTCTGGTCTTGCTTCTGCCTCAAAATACGGCGCCTTATTTTAAAATAGGACGCCTTTAAAAGGCCTTTACATTCTTCAACCTCATCTTTAAAACATAGTTGGACCCAGAGTGGGCTACCACAGAGAACACCTGTGGAATACCATTGGCTGTAACTTGTAACCTTGATCGCTCTGGAAAGACCTGAGTGGCTGGAACACAGAAATGGGAGGAAGACTCTTGCCCTACTGTGTACCCATTTGTGCCTTTGAATTTTGAATCTTGCGAATATTACCTACTACAATAAAATTTAAATACAAAAAAAATTTTTAAGTCCAGTTACAATACAAGAACAAATGTAGGGCATCAAAATCATTTTCTTTCTATGTATTCTATGACTATATATTCTATATATTCTTAAATTTCACCAGTTGTAAAGATATTTAACACTTAATAAACAGTCCAGCTTTTAAGATAGTCATAAATAAAAGTCAAAATTGGGAATATTACTATGAAGGCTAGTGTAATTAAGTGTAAACATAGCTACAATATCTATAAGCATTTCTTCATTAAATTCTCAAATTGGTTTTATAGTCAGATTTCTTGTATGACATTGAAAAAGGCAAAAAATAATAATCTTCACATATTACAGGTTAAAAAAAAGAATAAAAAGGTTTATTATTTAAATAAAGGCACCGTGAGAATAGAACATTTTAATCTGACTATTCTGCTCTTCAGATCACATTGATATAGTTCTTTCAGTTATGAACAAGGTAATATGCTATTTGTACTGCATTTAGGCAGACTAATGGTACTACACCCTGCAGAAGCATTTATTCTCCGCACTGTGTTGAATGAAGGCAAATTGGAAGAAAATAGATTGGAAAAACATACTACCTTTTTAAAAGTAGGTTAGACAGCAAAGCTGATAGATATCTTAATTATGGTTTTCAAGAACATAAGGGTTAACATGGCACATGATACTAATAGCCGCTAATTTTCTCCTTATAAAAACAAATAAAAGAAAATTAGCATTTAGGACTTTGTGTTTGACAGTTCTTTTTAAAACCTCCTAAAAGTACAGACAACATGTAACATTGTAGAATTTCCTACCTCCAAAATATTGTAAGAGCAACAACTAAAAAACAAGATACTGAAATCGAGCAAATCTTTACTTCTTTAAAATGACTTTTTCTCGTCTTTCTCTCCTTGATTCAAACTGGCCTTGGGCTCACTTGCTTCTTTTCTTTACTCATCCTTCTGCATACTGCCAAGACCACTCCCTTAATCTTTAAGCCCTTAGTTCAGCATCAAGCAGTCTTAGGAACAAAGGCTCAGATCTGTTGACCACAGAAACAGTTTGATCAAACTAAAGATAACATCTTGCAGCTCCACACCCATGAAAGCCAAGGACCCTCCCTACCAGCATCCCCTTGAAACCGGACAGAACAAACCATGACTAACATCAGGATCTGATGCAATGCTCAACTGCCTCCTACCCTAGCCCTAACGAATCAGTAGAATCCACAATCCCAACTCCCTTAGCTACCATGACTAAGGAATTTTCCCCCATATAACCTATCTCCTGGACGCCACTGGGAGCCGAGTCTTTGAGCACTAGCTCACCTGTGTCCCCGGGCTTGGTGCCATTTCCTTAAATAAATCTTTACTTTCTTCGCTGCAAACTCTTGTTTATATGTCTTTTGGCTTTGACATATGCAGGCAAAATGAACCGCTTGAGTTTGGTGACAATACTCAATTACCTAATTGTCTAAAATGGTCTAGAAATAGTTCTCCCTAAAATATGAATACAGGCAGTCTCTTTAAGCGCTAAGATCAACCAGAGACATTTAACTTTTGTCTCTAGGCATTATTATATTTAGAATTTTTTAAAGGTAATTTTAGAATCAGATAAAAATCTATTTTCACTTTGAAAAGAAGAAAATAAAATTGTTACTGTGATTAAAGAATAGAATCTATAGAGAATCCACAGGAATGCTATGTGTGGACAAAAAAAAGAGAGAGATTCTATAAAAGGTAACTTCATAGGGTGATCTGATCATGAATTCCTAACTGGAACTGTCATGGTGAGTAGTCATATAACTTCTTTAGTGAAAGGTTTTTAAGCAAGCCCCGTTAATTGTTCTTGTGCATCTAGGTTAACCCACCTTTGAAATGCCGGAAGTAATACCCTTTGCAGGGCACAAAATCTTGTTAACTATCCTGTAATCTATCCCCTCTCCTTGCTTCCTCTAACCTTTCTATTTTCCTTACTTCCCTTCTTAATTTCAAATGCATAGAAGAAACCACAAAACTGTTAGTCTAAGAAGCGTTTGAGATCTTGCTTCCCAACATCATTGTCAGTTTGGCTCAAATATAAACGCTTATAAAATTTCTCTATGGGTTTCAACATTTCTTACCTCAACAAATGGAGTAGGTACATTTGAAAAAGTATTAAAGAGAACTTCTAAAAACTTTTAGGAAACTTTTGGTCAAACGTTAGAAGAGACTCCCGTTTCTTTACCAAGTTCTAAGCTAATGAATAAGTTTATTTTGTAAGATAGTAAGTGAAAGTGTTAGGTAATTAGGTAGTCATGAAAATAGGAGTGAAGACCCAGCTCTATAACCATAGAAACTTCCTTTGAAGACCTCCCTTAAGGACCTCCCTGAAACACCCATTTTATAGTTATAAATCAACCCTGAATCCTGAGGAACAAAAGAATGAAGGGCCATAAATCTATAGCTGATTTAATCTGGCCACAAACACTTGGGAAGTAAGGACTACTCTGACCTTCTTTTCACCTCAGCCTCATTATTACCAACATTATAATGTCATGCCTATGCCTAGAAGTTCATGAATCTAATTATAACAGACTAAATTCTAGGTAACTGCATACACAGTAGGCAGAGAGGTGTAAAACAGTCAAATGTCAATCAAAATGACCTCACATGCCAATCACCTAGGATCACCTTTGTAACCTCCCATCATAGTCCTAATATAATACAGACCTCCCTACTTCCATGAGGTTACAGCTCTCTTCGCTGAAACCTGCCTCTCTCTTGGACCATACTCTATCATTTGTCCCAAATTCCAAATTCCACGGGGCTGCAGCCTTCTTTGGCATGTCCTGTCTCCTTTTAAAATTGTGCTTTCTATAAACCTTACTTTTTCTAAATCTCGCTGACCTGTAATTCTTTACTGAGTTAGTGGGGAAGAACCGAGGAACCCCTCAATGCTGCTGGGGTGACGGTGGATTTTGGATGGCCCAAATGGTAACAAAAGGTACACAACACAAAAAACCAGGTATCAGTCAGAAGGGCTTTTCAAAAGTTTATTTTCAAGTAATTGAGAAATTTCAGACCCAAAACATGTCTGTTTAAAGTTAAATGCCTTAAAAAATGACCTGGTCATTATTTCCCTTGATGAGTTGTTTCCCCCTCTCTTATATCTAAAGTGACTGACACACAATTTCAGCTTTTCCTTTCTTGTTTTGGACATTCAAAGGAATTCTATTTTCTAGCAAAGGTATTACAAAATATGCATACAAAAAATCATAACTCAGAAGTAGGAATCTATACAGTCACTTTTGGAAACAAATTGGCTTTACCTAGGAAGGCTGAAAAATAATTTCAATCCAGGGAATATACCCTAAAGAAACACAAAATAAATTCATATCGAGGTACATTGTAGTGAAATTTAAAGATCGAAGAAAAACAAAAGTACCTAAGCAGAAAAAAAAAAGTATTGTTCTTATAAGGAATAGAGACTAGCTCCTCAACAGCGACAAAAGACACTGAAAGTCAATGAAAACAAAATCTTCAAATGCTAAAATAAAATAATTATTATAGTTGACCTAGACTTGTATGTCAAGTTAAGCTATCATTTAAACTTGAGGGCAAAATAAAGACATTTTCAGAGGAAAAACAGCATTTATTCCTAAGAAAATTTTACTGAAAGAACTTCTAAAGGATGTCTTTAAAAAGTTGAAAATTGAACCTAAAAAGAAAGGGTGAGATGCAAGAAAGTATGGAGAAAAAAGAAATTATGTATAATCCTCAAACCAGTAGGTTTTAAAAAGGAAATTAAAAACATAATTACTC